GGCGGGTCGCATCCGTATAAGCGGACACACACTAACATTCATTGACTTCGCACACACTCTTAACTCAAATATTATCGGGATTGATGGGTAGCCTATACAAAACTCCTTAGGAAATGACCGACTAGAACTTTCAAAATATCTGGATTTTTTACTAAATTAGTCTGCTAATTAATCAGCTTGATCATTTTATAAGTGTTAAAAATATTCAGCCATTAGTCTATAAGTACTTTGAAGAAAGCGTAGTCTATGCAAATATTTGAAAAAATTAATTGGATATTATTATTATTTCATATGAATTATTCTATGAATATTATGAATAAATATGATGTTCAAGATTCTATAGCCACCCCTTAAATAAGATATCGAAAAATATTGATAACTAACATGAAACTGATATTTACGATATTAATTTATCACATAGTTATTCCACTTTAAATTAATGACAAGTTCGCATTCCTTTGTACTAAATACTATCATACGACCTCTTTATCTGTTTGAAAACGAAAATTCCAATACTCACTTCAATTTATCACAAGGTCATAATTAAAATATTAAGTAATTTTAATCCTATTTTGGAATCTTTAATGTATTCGTACATTGAATGTGTCTAATAGTGTGCTACAATTTATATATGCATTTTACTATTTCCATATTGGTACCAGTGGCGCCCAGACAGGTTACCAAGGGGTGCAATGCATGTGCTCTTGTCGTGGGTGAGTGCATGGGTGGGTTGGGGGGTATATAATTGGACAACTTGGATACCAAACATTATAGAGTATGGTAAACAAATAACATTACTATTATTGGAAGAAGTGTTACCCTGGTAACAGTAGTAGCCACTCAGGGGGAACTCAACGATGTGTTGAAAATAAATATAAGAAATAGAACAAATGCAAATTAAGTTTAAGTTGACTGTATAGTAAAATAATAATAATAATAATAATAATAATAATAATAATAATAATAATAATAATAGTAACAGTAATATTAATGTGAATAATAATAAAAATAATGCTTTAGGTTTGGTACCTTAGCCACTTTGGCTCAAAAACATATATAAAAAAAATAATATAATAAATGTATAATTTGGTAAGAAAAATAAATGTAACGTAATGTATAATAGAAATGTGAAAATGAGATCTTGAGATATTGCTAGATTAATTATAAACAAAGGAACTATGTAAGGCGTGTCTGCCACAAAAACGTAAAAATAAAAAATAGTCGACAAATGATACTCACAGCATTTAAGTGCAGTGGACGGTGGGTTTAATCCCTACGCTACTGCACCGGGGAATGTAAGTAATAATGAAATAATACAATAAAAAAAAAAAAAAAAAAAACAATGCTCCTCATATGTGCGTCCCACAACTACAGTTAAAGACGAAAAATTCACGCTTTGATATTCACAGCACAACGACAAATGCAAAACCACGAATCATAAAACTGCCGGTGCAAATTGACCACCTAGAACTAGGGAACACAAATTAGAACAATAGTGACTGTTGTCACGAACGATATTTACCGGGCAGTTATTCACAATATTCACAAGAAAAGGTGGTTTTGATAAACTTGAGAAACAGAACGAAAAACGTTGAGAAGATGAAAATTTGATGTGCACACCATGAAGACACAAAAACGAGAGAGAGACGGTGCCGACGACATTTACCACGAAGGCTCTGGCCACCGGACACCACAATGAAGATAAAATGCCTCAGTGCCACCACACAAAATTGAAAAACACTCAAAATTAATGAACTTTGTGGTACTGAGAGCATGACTTGAAACTTACGCGAAACATAAGCGATAAAATTTGAAAACGCGGAATAACGAACATTTCCATGCGATGATAACAGCTAGATTACATACCCGGCCGGTCGCGCACGGAGGCTTATCACCACCGCCGACGAGGACCGCGGATACGCAATGCACCGCTACGCGTCGCACGAAAATGATGACATGAACAAAATTTACAAAAAACAATATTGACGCGAACAATTATAACACAAACATTATACCTATACGGTACTGGGTATAGACATTTTAATTTTAATTAATTATAATAAAACTTAATTTCTTAAATTTATATTTGTTTTCAGAGTTAATAACAGTTACAGACAACAATTTAAACAAAAGTTTTTTTTTTTTTTTAAAAAAAAATGGTGGGTGGGTGGGTAACTTTTTTTAGTTGCATGTGCTCTCAAAATACTTCTATGTACCACTGATTGGTACTATAAGTTATGATTTATTGTAGTGATCTGGATGGTTAGATATAATTTATATAAATATTTTGAATAATTAACATTGATACGTTTGTAATTTTTAAAAAATAATCGATAATTTAGTGTTTGTATTTGTATTTTGTAAGCTAGGTTCTATGTTTTGTTTTTTTAGTATGGATGATTGAATAACTATATTGTAGGAAGGAAAATTTTAGATAAGGGAGTTTGGATAATTAATTAATTTGTTATTGAATAGATTGTATAAAGTACTAATGCGCAATAGAGATATTAATTGACAGTTGGTAAGTGGGAGCCATTATGTAATGAAGTATTTCTCTATACTACAGGACACTTTAAAGTCTGTGTAAACAGTCAAAAAAAAAATAGTAACAGTATAGTAATAAAAATAGTATTCATTAAATATAATCTAATTTTATATATTGTATAATAATACTTGTACCAATGATTATAAATTTTAAAGCTTAAAAAAATAATTTCAATAATAATGATACAATTTTATAGGTAGCTTTTAATCAAATTGTAAATTATAACTAGGTTTGGTATATTATACTTTAGGCGAACCACCGAAAGTTTTGGTATCTAGTTTTATTACAATTAATATGAAAATAAAAATAAAACAGAAATGTACGTTTTGAATCAATTAAGCCATTCTGTCATGATAGTATATATAGTAGCCTATAGGCTTTAATGCTTACTTATAATTTAACTATATTTTATGTCATATTGTATAATACTGTATGAAATCCTAGGACTTTAACGAAGTTTAACAGGAAAAGGTCAAAGACACGGTAATCATGCGTGTTTAAAATTACATTGGTTAATTAGTGATTAAAATGTTATAGAATATTTCAGTTCAAATAATATAATATGCTTATACCTAGAAAACTAAATGGATCGAGCCTAGATATAGGTACATATAAATATAAATGCTACAATGTCAACTTCTTTGCGGACACTGCTGTAGTCATATACTTTCAGGGTTAATTACGTTTTTATAGAATTTTAAACATTAACATTTTCACGAGTTATATTGATTCCGTAGATATCAACTGTATACTTAAGTGCATTACACACTAGGCGGTTTATCCGCACGCAAATGCGATTATAATACACCGCAATTAAAAATTGTCTCATTGTCCACTAGTCGGTTTGTTCGCTCATGAACGTGATTTGAAATCGCCTGTGCCAACAAAAAAAAACCCCGCCAACATTTGATGAATAAAACGTTTGATGCGAATATTCCCAGTCAATGTGTTTAATATTAGCGGTTAAAAGCGAACGTTCGCCCCTAAAATTAACCATGCGCGTTGGAACGCGGACGTCCGTGAATTTAAAATCGCGCGGTTTTTTTAGAGTGAATATATCGACTTAATTATAGCTGTTTAAATTCCAGCGAATAGTCACGATGGTTTTTAACCGTGTCCGTGCGTAAATAAACCACTTAATGTGTAATTTAAAATTTACACTCGAATTTATGAAAACGAAACATTTACAGTGAAAATTATTTTTATGTGAATATCATAGCATTATTTTAGACAAAGAGGCCATTGATTAAAGCGAGTAATTTTTTCATAAATGTTCTTAGTTTTCAAGTATTAAAATGTTGCAAACTTCATTTCATTAAATCGTTAATTAGGCTCAAAACAGTTTGAATAAAGTTTATTCATTTTTTTCAATAATTTCCCTTATTAACGTAAAAACTGTTTTTATCAAGATAAAATAAGGCATATTGTATTTAATTAACTGCAAGAAAAATATTTAATTATTAGTTATATACTCATAAACGATTTCCAAAAATCACGTTCGTTTTTTGGATTACGTTTAAACAACGTAAATTTTTTGAAATTCAAATTTATGAGAAATGTTATTTTTATTTATAAATCCTTAACATTTAATAAAAACTTATTTCATTATTAAGTATATTAGTATATTAGTAAGTTTAATCAAGCAAGTATAGTTTTGTAATTTTTTTCTGATCAATTAAATATTTAACTTGAGGTTCTAATTTCAACCTAATAATGTACAGTTTCTGATGGTAGGTAAAATAATATATTCAATATTTTAAACACTGCGATTTAGAATCATTATTTGATTGTTATAATAATTCTTTGATACATAGGTCATTGGTTCAAAATGTTTACAAATGCAATGTCTTCTTATGATATCAATAAATATCAAATTAAACGCTCACCTGTAGCAGCCACTGTTTTGAAAAACAAGGTCATTCGGTCTCTGCTTCTACTTGTCAACTGTCTTCAGTGCTTATCAAAAATATATTTATTAAAATTTATGTGCTTCGCCGAAATTTTTTGAAATTTTTTTAAAGGTCTTTATAGTTATTAGATAAATAGTCTTTCATTAAAATACAAATTTTTGCAAAAATGTTTTTCTCATCTTCCCCTTATCTTGGCCTCATCTTGTTATACGTATGCTGTACAAATCCTACTTCATTACGTATTGTATTGCAAGAAAACATGACTATAATATATACTTATGACGTCATAGTGGTGCTTCTACACTGATTTGCCATTAACCCATTCATAATTTATACGTTTTGTTAAATTAATTTATAAATTACAGTATAACTATATTGGCTAATCTATATCAAGCGCGTGTTATAAATTTTTCCGTAAGTAAGAATCGGGAACTTGTTTTCGAGCTAAAACCAGACGTATAACTAAAATCAAATTAGTAGACCGGTTTTGAACATGGTAAAATGGAGGTGGAACTCACAATTTCTGATGAACATATTTATTATTTATTAAATTACCACATTTGATTAGTATCTTTTATCACGTTTAACCGTATATACTTGTTCGTTACACATTGCTTATTCATTTCTTAGTCTTGTTTGTTTTAACTAAAGAACATGCTTTATAGTTGTTGGCAGTAAGATTTAAAAACATACGTTGTAGTCTGAATAGAAGTCACCAACATAAATTGACAGGTATTATCCGTGTAAATTTGATATATAGTAGACTCTTCTCTTTAAGAATATATCTCAAATTATCAATGAATTATTTGATATGTAATTTGTAAATATAATAAACTACATTTTTTTTGGAACGAAAAAAAATCAAAAATATTTTTAGTTTAACTAAGTTTAGTTTAACTAAAACTAATATATTTTTATTTGAATCTGACGGATAATAATTATACATTTATTTCCGCCCGATAAATTGTATTATCACTATTATTTTCTAAAAATGAACTACTTGCTAAATAAAAACAAAACAAATATGTAAGAATTGTACTTCCTTTTTTTGCTTATCAAATTATATTTTACCTTGAGACTTCGACCTTCGTTTAACGTAGAATAGTTGGCAATTTTGCTAATGGAAATAATGTTATACCCATTTGATAACTTCTTGATGATTTTCATTGTGTTTAATAAGTATAAATGGTGTTTATAATAGTGTGTAATGTAACTAATTTCTTATAAATGTTCATGGAGAAAGAATAACTGTTTAAAAGAAATTCATTAAGTATTGGGTTTATTCCACTGCTAGTCACGTATACAGACTAAGGTGTTAATATTGTTTACGTGGTTAAAGCTGTTTAATTGTTTTATGATACTGTACATCATAGGTTAGTTAAAAGGTACCTATATTATAAAATCTAAGGATTGATGAACTATTTAATGATCAAATACTCCTACTAATAAATAATATTGTCGAAATACACCAATAAAGTAAATAGTAAAATCACGTAACTAAATAATGTTGTTGTCTTAAATTGTTAATGATTTTATTAACCTCGGTCAAGGTAAGCTAATGCGCTATCTATTTGACCCATGCCTGTAGTTTTAAAACGTATGCTGTATTGATACCCAATTAAAATGTCCGTATGTGTACATTTAATCAATGCTTATATTATTCAAACGGTGTATATAATTTTAGCTGTTACCACAAACGGCTCTTGTATTTTTCAATAAATGTAAGTTGGCGTTATTTTCTTTGGATCAGAAATAAAATACGCAGGATCACGATTTCAAGGTGTAAAGTAGAAATAGACTAGGTAAAATAAGTCACTGGCTATGGTGCTTTGAGTGCGAGTAATTTATTGTGTACGATGTTTTGCTATTATGTTTAGGCGTACATTGAGATTTTCTTAATTTGTCATGGAAAAAGGATCATTCATATTTTGTTGGTTATTTGTGATCCAGTTCGTATCGTCCCAAACAAATAATGGTGAGTAGTTTTTCAATTTCACGATTTTTTCTGTTATTTATAATTATATAAATTTTAAATTATAACAATAGTTTTAACTAAATCACATTAGCTTATATAAAACGTGTTGACGGTATCATTTAATAATTTAGCATTATAAACATGAATGAATTGTTTCATTAAGTAAATTTTACATCGCTATTTAAATAATATTTTGTATCGCCATGTTGAAATATATATTTGCACTGTAATCACTTTATCGAAAGTTGGGATATCTTTTGACTTAATTTTTACATTAGAAACATAGCTTGAAATGGTGGTTATTGCCTATTGATGCTTTTGAAATATACCATAAGATTAGAATAAAATAGAACCAATATCAAAATGTGATGGGGTTCACCTTCATATTACACTATTAATTTGAAATATCTTATAACTTCGAGTTTGAATTAGGTATAAAATAAAGCAAAACATTAAGATTTATAAAATATAATTAGAATCACGTCTGATTATTTATTTTACCATGTATTAAAATTCGAAGTAATTGAAATGAATAACAAATATAAAAAAGGAAAAAATTAAATAAAAATGTATTTCATTCCATCAGTTATGTAATAATCAATATTTACTGAGGTATATTTTATTCCAAAGGCATTGTACCTATAATATTTTCTTTTGATTTGTATAATTTACTCGTATATTGAAAATTACTTAGAAATCTACTATAAGAAATCAAAGGACTTTTTGTGAATCTTGTAGAACGTCTTGGGCTTTACTCATAGCCACGTTAAATAGTCAGCGTTTTTCAAACAATTTTAGTCTACACATGAAAGCTTTTGTTCTGTGACAGAAAAAATATTTATAAAGTAAATTAATTATTAGTGAATTTAACATAATTATATTTGTCTATTTGACATGCTGTTCTGTTGAATTGTTGATACTAATGGGTATACAGATTAATGTACCTACGTGTTCCATAATCATAGTCCATTTAGTTAATAGATTGTAGGTGATATATATATATATATCGAGTCTGCACCATGGTCTTTGACCGCCTTTCAAGACCGTGGTCATTGCCATTCTCTAGCGATATCACAATACATGGTTTATTAGCAAATACAACTACAAGCTATTGTATAGTTGCTAATTTAATTAATTTAATCCTATAACATATGAATATTTAAGACATTTAGAGTAAACTGAAGAATTTGTTGGCTTTATAATAAAGTTCTTTTTTTAAAAAAAAAATCATTATTAACAATTTAATATGCACCAAAATGTTAATATATCAAATGTTTTAGGCAGAAAATTAAACTAAGAAGACATTTTTGCAATTTTGTTCAAGAAAAATTAGAATAAAATGCGTTAACATTATTTTGATGAAATTAATAATTTTGTGTTTTATGATTTTTTCATTTTATGCTAGGCTAACTTTGGTATGTATTTAGACTTTAGTGCTAAGACGGAGGATTTTATTTAACCATTTTTTTTAAACCGTTAAAGCTTGAAAAATATAAAAATATTTATTAAAATTTAAGTTTTGTTTTAATCTATTAGCTACTACTAACTACCATTACCTAACAACATATATTATCCACCAACCACCATTCGTAATTAGTATTCAGTTTTTGTCATTTGACTACTTGGATTCTAATGTTATGGTTAAATTAATTTTTTTATGTTGTTTCTTGTTTTCTCATTTTACTGCTTTAGTTTAACAGTAATACACGTCTTTATAAAAAAGTAAATAATTTTGTTTTTGTGTAAATAAGTTATAACAGTTTATACGTTGTAAAAAGAATGCGAGCATAAGGTAATTAAGAATTTAAATATAAATACTATTTTATTGAATAATATCACTATATTTTTATACTATATTATAAAATTAAATAAATTAAAAAAATTAAAAAATTGTAATTTATTAGGTACGAATTGGTCAAAATTAATTAAGATATAATATCATTTATTTTAGAGTTGGGCGAGTATCGACTAAAAAAAAATTAATTCGAGTACTGGACTTTTTTCTTAGAACAAATTCAGTTTAGCTCCTAAATTATTTTAGTAATTTATTTTTCAAATTTTGTGTTTTTACATATATAATTAGATGACACTTTCAAAAAAAGTCGGTCGAACTTCCTTTAGAAGTTAGGTGTACAAAATGTAAGTTTATATAATTATATAATATATTATAAATATATAACTAGAACTAATTCGCAAATCTACGTGCTCTGCATCGTGGGAATATTTCGATTTGATAATCGTCAATTATGTATGTAAAGCAACCACCCTCACTCGCTTCGTTCATTTGAAAGAGGACTCACTACGCGAAAGTACCATTTTATTATAAAAACAAAAACATACAAATTAAAAAAATTTTTTTTTCAAAATTAGCTTGGGAGCAAAAACTGCATTTATGTCTTTTTCTCTTGTGCTCAACGTTTTTCGAGTATACTTATGTTGAACTCTACTCACCGCGACATCAAAGAACATTATTCGCCCAACACTAATATATTTATCTTAATCATAGTATCTAACGTTTTTCGCGTGTATATTACCATATTGATTTTTTTATTTTTAGAATGTTTCACACCAAACGATTTAAATGGTGTTTGCATAAACATAAAGAGATGTCCATCTCTTCTTATGCTTTTGGAGAACCAACGGAAAAATAGTACAATTGCTGCTTTTCTCCGTAATTCAATGTGTGGTTATGAAGGTAGAGATCCTAAAGTGTGTTGCGCTTTAGATAGTGAAACTAATAACAATCCTTCACAAAATATTCCACCACCGACAACAACTGTACGACCTAACACATCATTTGGATCTGATAATGTTGAGACGGTTAAATCATCAAAATTGCCATCACAAAGCACCTGTGGAAAGTCTAATTCTAGCCACATTCGAATTGTTGGAGGAATTCCAGCCGATTTAGGTAAGAGGTTTAGGATAAAATTATTATACTTATCTATGTCTATTTAAAAGAAACGAATAAGTAATGTAGTTATGTGTAATTTTGAGAATTGTATATTACAGTTGTTAAATATTTTAAATCGTTTAGGTGCTTGGCCCTGGATGGCAGCTCTTGGGTACCAAAATCTTAACAGACCAGGCCGTGATTATCAATGGTTATGCGGCGGTGCCTTAATATCTGACAGATACGCGTTAACAGCTGCTCACTGTACAGTCGGAATCGGGAATCGAAAGTTGTAAGCACATCTAAATACAATTCAAACATGTATTTACAATTTTTTTTTTTTAGTCTAGAAAATTTTTTAATAACATTTAACACGGGTACTTAATAATAATCTTGTTGGCGTTTTTATTTTTTGATTAGCTAGATATTAGAATTTGTTAAGACAATGCAAAAGAGTAAAGGATGTTGAGTAGGGCTAGTTGTTCCCACTAAGATTGAAGAGCAACGATTACCTTTCCGCTAAATATTCATTTTTTTTCTTATAAAATTATCTTCTATAATATTTATTTGGGTTGATTTATTAGATTTTTGGTGGTTTAAAATATATACGAGAAATTCGTAAAATTATTCAACCATGTATGATAAAGTGTTTAAATTGTTTAATGTTAAATTGGATATTTAATAAAATTTAAAAATGTTTAGTAAAATAGAAATTATTTATAAATATTTTTAAAATTAAATTTTTGTGTTGCAATATTTTTATTTTATTTATTTTTATCAAATTTTTTTGTTCTTAATGGTTTTAGTTTTTCAGGGTCGTTGTACATTTAGGTGATTTGGATTTGAATCCTGACGTGCAAGATTCAGCTTCACCAATTGATGTGCCTATTTCACGTATCATAACACATGAACGATACAATGCACGAGAATATACCAATGATATAGCACTATTAAAATTAGAAAGTACTGTTAGATTTAATGGTAAGCTTTGTGTACTTATGTATAACTTTAATATTTAAAGTACAATCGTATAATATTTTCCCTGTAGTATAAACAACATTTCATATCATATGAATTTTCCTTGTATTTCCTTGTTAGTGTAATATTTCTTCAATATTTTTTAATTTTTTGGAAAAATTTTGAGAAATTAAATAATTTCCTTTTAAATACACTAATAACGCTAAAGAGTATTTTCTACAAAAAATTCATAAATATGATAAATATATTTTATATATATATACATGCATATAATCACATTTTTTTTTATAGAACTTATTCAACCTATCTGCTTGCCGATACTACAAAAACATAGATCTAATCAATTAGTTTCTTTGGTGCCATTTGTTGCTGGCTGGGGTTCTACATCATTTAGTAAGTGAATATTATGAGAATAATTAAATATATAGAATACCTACAACCTATGTATCACAAAATCAAATTAAAACACTATAATATAGACAATATAGATAATATGGTTGTCTTTAAAAAAAAAAAAAAATATATGAATAATTATGAAAAAAATATTTAATATATAATACGGGTGAGTCCGTTTTTGACCAAAACCGTACCCTTTCCTTTTCGGCCAATTCACTTTTTGATCAAAACAAAAATTTATATAATAAATTTAAAAAAATAAAATAATGATTTACAATGTTTGATTACGATGGAAACTACTATAATATATTAATGACGATTCAGGGTTTTACTCGCGTGGCGAGGTTTTAGGTTCACATATAGATCATAATCCCATTTGCAACAGTATCAAGGTTTATATAAAAACTAGGTTAGGCTTAGACTATAATTCCCCTTAAGGCAAAGCCTCATCCCCCGAAAAGTGCCACGCAGTAGCACTCGAGTTTGTGAGTGGAGCTAGAAGGTGTAATGAGCGAAATCTTAACATTAAAGTTCCGATTTTTCGAAAAAAAAATGTAAACAATTTTCATTATGATAAGAAATTAAAACTAGATACAAAATATTGTTCTCTTTTATATTAATATTTTAATAATTAGGTATTGACAAAAATTGTACATCATTATTTTATTATTTTAAATTTATAATATAAATTTTTGTTTTGGTCAAAAAAGGAAGGGTACGTTTTTGGTCGAAAACGGCTATACCCTATAATACACCTATTAATCACATAGTCAAATAAAAATTTAATAACTCGGACAGTATAGTGTAATTTTACTGTATTCGATTTGATTGCATTCGATAAAAAACGATTCTGAGCGGACGATGGAATCTTTTTTATTTAATTGTATTCGTTTCTATGGTGATAAACAAAGCGTTTTAAAAACAGCTTTAGAACGATTTGTATAAATAGGTAATTTATGTAATTATTATTATAATTTTTAATTAGGAAATATCATAAAAATGAAAAAAAATATAAAATAAAAGAAAAAGCTCAAAAGTTGCTCAAATGTTTTGAAAATTTTACCATGTCTAGGTAAGGATAATATAAGTAAACAACCCAAATTTCAAGTTTTTAAAAATGTAACCGAATTACAACAAAAAACTCTCAAAATTAAAATGTCTATAAATAGCTCAAAAATGGCTAAAATTTTCCGAACTTTTAATCGTAAGGAACAAAATCCAAAATACAACAAAAAAGATCTCTTGTCATTTTTCATTTGAAGCAATATTTTTGGTAGAAAACGTAGTTCGTAATTATTTAATATTATAAAATCGTGAAATCATAAGTTTTTTCTCCTTTAACCGCTTTTATTTCGAGTACCGTTTCGAAAATCGAAAAATGACCTCTTTAAAGTACCAGATCAAGAACATTATCTTTCAGAAAAGATGCTACACTTGATACTTTTGAGCAAGTGTAGAGGGAGAAAAAGTGTTTACAGAATAAAAAAGAAAAAGAAATAAACATCATTGTAAAACCATTACATTCCTCGCTCCGCTCAGAATCTAAAATTAATACATTATAAAAGATAGAGTACCTTATGATAAATAGTGTTAGTTAAAAGGATCATAATTGAATTTTTTTAGATGGAGGCAGTTGATTTACTCCGATTAACCGTACAAACTGACCTTCGAATGTTGGAAATATTATTTTAACTGTATAATTTGACCGCGTGAGACAGATTTTAACAATATACTGCTCTAAGTGACCGTTTGCCAAAGATTATTCGATAATATGCATTTGAAACTTAAAATTTTTTTAACTGTTTTTGTCTATAACAATTATTCGTACATGTTAACAATATTGTCAACATTTTATTTTTATTTATTGTATTATATCTATCGATTTAAGTTTCAAATTTATTTATAAAATTTATTAAATAACAATCTAGGAGGACCATCTTCTAGTGCATTGATGGAAGTTCAAGTACCAGTGATGAGCAACGCGGATTGTAAGCAACAATTTGCCAACAAAAAAACTGTAATTGATGAGAGAGTATTATGTGCTGGTTATTTAACTGGCGGAAAAGACGCATGTCAGGTAACCTGTTAATTAAATTTATATTTTTTTTATAACTTTTGTTCATTTAATTTTTAATGATTTCAGGGAGATTCTGGTGGTCCATTAATGTGGCCTAATGGAAATCAGTATTATTTAGTGGGTATAGTTTCTTTTGGATTTAAATGTGCTGAGCCAGGTTTCCCTGGTGTATACACTAGGGTCACACATTTTGTTGACTGGATTGCAAATAATATGAACAACAGTTAAGGTGTATCCCATTGGTATTTGGTACTGTTTCAGTATGAATTATTTTTTATAAAATAATTAATGCAGAGAAAAGAAACTTCTAGTTGTGTAATTTTTTATTTAATTTTTTTTCAATGATCAAATTTGTATTTTTTTGCAACTTATTTAAAATTGTATTTTTTTTAATTTATATTATTTTTATATTAGATTTAAGTATCTTTTACAAACATTACTTGTATAACTATGAATATAAATACATTCAGAATTGAATCAAAATTTTTTTATTGTTATTTATTTTGTTTTTGTTCAACACATTACAGCAAGAAACAAAAAGTTACTACAATAATACATTTTTTTTTCTTCTAAAATCATTGATTTGATTTAGAAAAAAAAAAATTTAAATTGTTGATTATTGAATATACAATTAAGAGAATCTAAAATGAATTAAATCTAAAAAAACACTAAACCTGTGCGAGAAAAATTTTAAATTATTTGATTTGTCTGATTTTTAAATATTTTTTAAAAATCTGTTTTTATATACATATATATATATACATACACCTATAGGTATTCGATTTATGGGGTATTACGTAGATGTATGAAGTATCGATTATTTATTGAAAAAAGTAATGCCTTTACAAATATCATTTTCTTTTACCCTTTAAAATACTTAATTATTATGTTGTCTCTCAATCATTGCATTTTTTTTTTAAATTTAATGTTTTAAAAAGTTTTTAGATTTTCTTACAATATTTATATGTCTCGTAAATAAAGTTAAACAAATGGTCGGTAACTCAAATGTAAATTCAAAATTTGCAAAACTAAAAACTAGTGAAATCCAGTCTAATTAAACTTTAATATAACCATTTTTATGCAAAGAGATGAACACTTTCTTTTAACTGTTAATAAGGATGACTGTTTTTAACTACATGTAGGAATATTAAAAGAAAACTCAAATTTACATGATCGGAGGTATACTAGACAACTTGAAAATTTTTTGTGAGATTCAAGAAAAGTATTTTATGTATTTTTATAAATTTTTAAGTTTGTTATAATATACCATCGGTACAGTAAAGGTAAACCCTCAGTACAGCTTTATGGACTCAATCATATGGTGGTTAAAAAAGCATATTGTCTCGAAAACAAGACTAAATTAACTAAGCTTGATCATTAGATATATTAAAAGAGTGTACCATTCATTCAATCTAATATCGAATATTTCGATCAGTGTAAAAAATTTTTGATTTTATTGTGCATTGACCACGTTTAAATGTGCTGGTATTTAAAAATTAGAATAGAATGATAGTATCAGTAAAAAAGTAACATATTTGTTCATCAAAATAGTTTTTTTTTAATTTGGCATATATTATGCTTGATTTGTACTTAACTGAATTAATAATACTAAATATTTATAACCTTTAATTTTCTTTATAATAATAGGATGTTAGTCAAAGTAAAATAATTTGTATCTAATAATACTTAATAACATAGTTGACGTTTTTTATTGTGTATTCGTATAAGAATCTAAGATAATTAGTATGTGTTATTCACAAGGCCTTACATTCGTTCGAAATATTCAAGGTATCAAGATGTAGGTACATAACATACATTTTTTTGTTGATTTTCATTCCTTGCATTATTTTAATATAAAAATCAATATTATTTATTTATTATTCTAAAATTATAATACAAAATGCCTAACTAATCAATAGTGATAGCAATTGAAACTTAAAATATTCAAAATTGTATTTAATTTAAATTTAATTACTGTATTACAGTATTAAATAATGCGTAATTGATAATTTACAATTTATATTTTTAAAATGTTATAAATAGCTACAATATACAATAAATACAATAAACAAAAATATCAATTAGACTATAAACGTATTTTAAAAAATGAAAACAAATTTTTATTTAAATACATAAATTCATATTAAGTAATTTAATGTAATAATGTAATTTATAAAACTAATAAAATGTACAAAGTAAAACGATAAAAAATTGTATTATTATAAGAAATGAAAGGAAAAGGCATTTCTGTTTTATATTATGTATTACTCTATAGGATAAACATTAAACACTTATGACTCATAAAGTACCAACATGAACACATTTTCTAATATTTACTTTTTGTTTGGTAATGATCGGTTATCATTCTGGTCGAAAATGTGTACTCGGGCAAAAAAAAAACATTACTGTAAAACCAATAAATTTCTCGTTTCACTCAGAAATTAAAAAAAATTAAAAAAAAAAAAATATAAATTTTATAAATATAGATTTTTATGATTTTATTGACTTTGGTCAAGGCAAGCGTATGAGCTATCTTTTTGACTCAAACCTGTGATTATAAATCATATGCTGTATTAATATCCAACTCAAATACCAATATAGGACCAATATAGGATCATTTAATTTATTTTTACACGATTTATTAGTGTTATTCAAATGGCTTATATCATAACTTTTACTTGTTTTTGTATTTTTAATTTTTAATAAATTGATAGCTATCGTATTCAGCCTGCGAGTAATATACCTACTTTCTTGTTTTGATTTTAGTTTAAGCGTACGTTGACATTTTCATAATTTGACATGGAAAAAGGATCATACATAGTTGGTTTGTTATTTGTAATCCTGCATACCGTATCGTCTCAATCATTAAATGGTGAGTAGTTTTAAATAACCACGATTTTTTTCTTTCTGTTATTTATGATTATTATCATAAAATTTAGTTAAACAATCAATTTAAAGTTATTATTCTATAATATGACATGTTAACGATATTATTTAATAACATAGCAAATTAATAATATAGGAGTTAATCTTTTCAAAAAGTGAACATAACATGAGTACTCAAATAAAATTTGGTGTCACGTTATCATATTAGGCCTGTTATCACTTCAACGTTATCTTTATAATACATTATTGTATTCAAAATGTTGCTTGGTTCAGATCACGGATTACGGCTATTAAAATGTGCCTACAGCTCAAAGCAGGGCCGGCGCAACGGGGGGGGGGGGGAGCAGGGCCCTTGCCCGGGGCCTCGCGGATCGAAACTTGTGTATAATAATATAAATATACCTAGACGCCATTCTTATAAAAGGGCCTCGCGGTATATTTTGCCCAGGGCCTCGTAAAAGCTAGCACTGCCCCTGGCCTAAAGGCAAGAAGAAAATAGAATGTAATAAATATGATTCACCTTGCATGTTTCAAATTTAATTCTAAATGTTACTTAATCATACATTTGATTGAGATCAACGTTTAGTAAATAATGGTGTATGTGCATCTACATTTATAAAAATAATATTTACAGCTTTAAACTTCAATAAAACAAAATCTTAAGATTTTTAAAATATGGATTTATGATTTTATATTACGTATTAATGTTTGTAGTAATTAAGATTTATTACCAAATTAACTTAATTAGTAACTATTAATTGAAGTATATTTTAACTGTTAAGCATAGTATGCAATATATTTTCTCTTGATTCTCATAGTTTATATTAAAAATCACTTAGTATTCTTCTACTAGAAATGAAGAGAAAAAATACTATGTATAAAATATGTAAAAGAATGATAAAATAAAGAGGTTGAAATTTCTGTGTGGGATATATGCATAATTTCAACTAGGAACTGATTAGCAGTATAGTTTTTGGTATAAACTGACAGAGAATATATAATACATGGATGTACCTGTAATGAGCGAGAGAAAAATTATGAAATTTTAGCATATATACCTTTTATTCAGTTTCGAAATTTAAAAAAAAAATAATATTATAGTTTAATCATTCAAATATTTTAACTACCTATTCTTATACTCAAGTATAATTTATATCATATAAATATTTATCACAGTCCTACGTTGATGACGTTGTTGTACCTTTCGTTTATATGAATGTTTACAAAATATAATAGCTCTAAACTATTATTTCATACGAGGCAAAAATAAACGAATGTCCAGTTATCTTCATTTCTAAACCAATATAAGGCAATAGTAACGGTGACTGAGTAGTCGTTGGGTGTCGTGGCTTACGACAAGTTTTATTAATAGTTAATTGTTTGTTTTATTGTAAGATTGAAATTATTATAATCCAATTTTGTTTTAAACTAAAAAATACTTGTTTTTAATTTTTTCTAATATTTTAAGAGTATCAAATCTCTAGTGAGTATACTGAAGCGTTTGTACCGAGAAAAAAAATATTTTTTTGTGTAGTAGCAAGACGTTTCTGTACTTATTTTCTCATCCAGTACTAACGTGATCAATTGAGGAAGAGTACGATTTGGTCTAGGTTAAAGAGATCTCACTCTCGAACATTTCATTATCAAGATCAGTTGTTTGAGAGTAAAGATACCTTAGAGTTATAAAGTATAAATCCTGTGGCACGTTTTACTTTATCCTTTTGTGCAGTAATCATTATTGTGGTCACCAAAAGGGAAATTAAATAAGTTTTAACCAAAGGTATATTTACTCGTCTGACGGTCTGAGACTCAATAATCAAAATATATCTGTTATATACGTCAAGCCTTTGCATGGCGTATACAACAACTTATAACTATAAAAATGTTGCGTGAAAAAATATGTTACAGTACGGTTTTTGAAAACCGTGGCCTTATGCTAAAAAAGTCGACAAGCAAACACTGGGTCACGGCAGCAAATATTTTCATTATCGTACACATATGTACTTATACCTGATGTACTTGAGAGTACCCGCGGTGTATGGCAAATGAAAGATAATGCACCGCGTCATATTTCTACTGTTCATTTTTATTTATAGAATGTTACACGCCAGATGAATTAATTGGTGAATGTATTAACATAAAGAGATGTCCATCACTTCTAATGCTTTTTGAAAATCCGAAGAAAAATAGTTCAGTTGCAGAGTTTCTTCATAATTCAAAGTGTGGTTATGAAGGTCGTGATCCTAAATTGTGTTGCGCATTAGTAAATGATCCTTCTGGTTCTTCAAATCAGACTACCTCACCGCAAACATCAACCGAAAAAATTAACTTTTCAATAAAATTGCCATCTTTAAGCACTTGTGGTAGGTCTAATTCTACCCACACTAGAATCGTCGGTGGATCACCAGCTGATTTAGGTATGGAGTTTAGATTAAAATAGTATTGTTGTTTATGTAAATTTTTACGAAACAAACGAGCAATGTTGTGCTGAATACTACATGTGAAATATTACATTTCTTATATCTTTAAATTATTTAGGTGTTTGGCCCTGGATGGCAGCTCTTGGGTATCAAGATCGTCGGATTAGGAAAAATGGTGATTATAAATGGTTATGTGGCGGTTCTTTAATATCTGACAGTTACGTATTAACAGCGGCTCACTGTCTAACCAGGGACCAATATCGTAGATTGTAAGTAAATCAACATTAGGGTTCCATATTTATTTTTAAAAAATACGGGACATTTTAAATCATACCTATATTTGTAATGTAACGTGAAGAATATTTTAATTTAATGACCAAAATAGTGTACTGGCCGAGAACGGACATGCCAGAATGGCCAAAAAGGGAAAGGTTCATTTTGGTTGAGAAGTGTCCCGCCCGAGAACTACTGTGTTTAGTTAGTATGTTTCCATACTGTTTCTTGTTCTTCATCTACTTTCTGTAAAAGAAATAGATTCAGTATTAATTTTTGTTTTTTAGTTAGACATTTTTTGTTAATTTTTAAAATAACTTACATGAACATATGGTACACGTACAAACGTTCAAATTGAATACTTGATATAACTACACAACACTTGTCTATAAAATCAATCTCGTGATCAAAAATTTTAGTAAGCCACGCGTCAAAATACGCGTACGTAGGATTCTACGTTTGACCACCCCTCTAAAATTTAATTCACTCCGCACGTCTCTAGACGCGTGCATTGGAATCACACCTTAATGGTTTTAATTTTTCAGGGTTGTTGTACGTTTAGGTGATTTGAATTTAAATCCTAGTGTTCAAGATTCAGCTTCACCAATAGATATGCCTGTTTCGTTTTCTATAGTACATAGAGGATACAATTCATTAAACTACACCAATGATATAGGAATATTAAAATTGGTACATCCAGTTACATTTAATGGTAAATGTTATTTATATATTTATAATGTTATGGTACTAGTATAATATTTTGCTGTAATGATCTAAAAAAGGCAAACTAAAAAAATAAAAATAATAGTATAATATTTTCTAGTAATACGAGTACTTATTATATGCTACATCTTATATAAATATTTCTTTAGTTTAATGTTTCCTTTAAAGATGTATACTATAAAAAATAATTTTTATCATGTTAATTTGAAAGAAATCAAGGAATCGGGTAGAACACGATTGCGTACGTTTTTAAATGGTGTAGTAACCAAGGTCACTACGACTTAGTTAAAACTATTTTATAGTCCTTTCCATTACTTATTTCCTTGAGCGTGGTCGTAAACAACTATTTACTAACATATTTGTATATTTGGAGACGGGTTTTTAGCTAACAAGATAAAATGGGTATTTTAGATAATAAGAATATTTATATTATTTTTTGTTATTATCTAACCATTTAAAAAGGAATAGTTGTTTAAGTTTTAAAAGATTAATATTATTTTTTGTTTTTAACGGACAACGAAAAGCCTTGAGTATTTTGCTTGTCCTAAATTACTATTGCGCATTATGTTTAAAGATATATGTATAAATAGGGACGTAATGCCAATACTTAATCAGATACAATGTAACCAGACTTAAGGGTAGACCGATACGGTTAAACTTACAACTGTTAACTTATCGGACTACCATTATGTTGTTTCTCAGTAATATAATAAATTCACATTTATAAATTAAACAGTGTTTTTTTTATTTTACTTCAACAGACGTGTAATTTACTGCAACAAGAGATGACTTTGTCATAAAACGTTTTTAGTCAGTTTTGATCAGACTGGCTCACTACAATGGGTAGCAAAAAGGTGAGTAAGAAAAATAAACACGATTGCGTATGAAATTGTATACAACGTTATCAAATTTATTAATTTCACCGTATTATATCTAATAAATATAGAATATACAGGTATATAATAGCTCATAAAAAAAATTAATAATAAAATAATAAATAAAATGAGGATAACTAAATAAAAGTAATTAATGAATAAATAAAATCGACAGTTATTATTTGAATGAAATTATCGTTAGTAAATTATTTAAAAATACTTAAATTTGGATTCCCTGACATCTATAACTTACTTCTCTTAGTGAAACTCGGAAAATACCGTATAGTACAACGGAAATAACGAAATTTCGTTATATCTGATATATTTTATATCATTAACAATAAATATAGGTAATAAAAGCAATAAACAAATATTTTTATTAAATTTCTTAAGTTCTCTCGTATAGGTATGTGGTATACACCAATACCGGTATGAAAATTGGCATCAACGTTTAAAACTTCATACGGAATCGTGTAGTTAAAATTCAGGTAAAATCATACGGAATCGTGTAGCTTAAAAAGGTACCGCCGATAACGAACGTACGCAATTGTGTTTTACCCAAGGAATCAAGGAATAAAATTAAAATTTACGAAATTATTACTTCTATGGTTATTGTTTTTTATTATGTCTATATTTAAGGAATTTAAAAAAAAATTGTATACATGATTAATATAACTACTACTAATAATTTTATAGAATTCATTCAACCTATCTGTTTGCCAATTTTAAGAAAACATAAAATCAACCAGTTAACTAATATGGTGGTATTTGTAGCTGGCTGGGGTACCACATCATTTAGTAAGTAAATATTATACCATAATTCACATTCCAATTATTTCCAATATTCTTGTGTACAATAATATTATTCACAATTCTGTATGATATTGTCAATGTATTATTTTTATATATTCTTTAATTTAATGTTGATTTAAGTTTTTTATTTTTACAAAAAAAAAAAAAATAATAAACTATATAGAAGGATCAACTTCTAATGCATTAATTGAAATTCAATTACCTGTGTGGGACAACGTTGATTGTAAGCAAACGTTTACTAACGAAAAAAATGTAGTAATTGATGACAGAGTAATATGTGCTGGGGTAAAGACAGGTGGAAAAGATGCATGCCAGGTATTAATTGTATTTATTTATTTTTTGTACCTATTGTTTATTTATTTAATTTTAAAACATTTCAGCAAGATTCTGGAGGCCCATTAATGTGGCCTGATGAAAATCAATATTATTTAATGGGTGTAGTATCTTACGGATATAAATGTGGTAAAGCAAATCACCCCGGTGTATACACTAGGGTCACACATTTTGTTGACTGGATTGTAGATAAAATTGATAACAGTTTAGATGTGTAAATTGGTATTAAGTAAGGTTTGAGTTTAAATTACTTCTTAATATAAATTTAGTAAGAAAAAACTTTTAATTATGTAATTTTTTTAAATCTTTCTTGTTGAGATTAATATACATAAACTTAACAGTTTTTTTGGCTACATAATTTTCTCAACGAATTTAAAAAATGTTTTAATTTAATTATTTTTATAATTTTAGAGTTCTCATTATAATTGTATTATTTGTAAATCAGATCAAGTGACTTATACAAACCTAATAAAGATATTGTTACGTTTATACTAACAGAGAATTAAAATTATAAATGGTTAAAAATAAGATTATTTGTGAAATTATAACTTTGAATTTCATTATGTTATCTACCACGAATGAATTCGGATGCGGATTAATAGAATGCCAATCAAAACACTTTTAATGGGAACTAAAATACTTCATCGATTTTGTCCTTTGGAATTTTTTCATTATACTCAGGGCTTGTTATCGATTTCAAAATCGATTTCAGATATTGATAAAAATCGTTATAATACTTTTAGAAAATCAAAATTGTTAATGTTTGGTAATGATTTTCAAAATTTATATTAAAATTGAAAGAAGTTAAAATCGATAATTTGTATAAAAATCAAAATTGTTTTAATAATTAAAACGATTTTAAATCAAATCTGTATATATAAAACAGTAAGCTCTCTGACTGTGCAATCAACGCACAGCTCAAACCATTGAACGGATCGGGCTGAAATTAAGCATACAGCTATTATGATGTAGGAGTGCGCTAAGAAAGGATTTTTTGGAAATTCAACCTTTAAGGTGGTTAAAAAGGGTAAAAGAGATAAAAATTTAAAACGGTTTTTTTTTATTCTGATTTTTTAAAATTAAGTATACATATTCTTTAAAACAAATAAACATTGTCTATAAACATTATTTTTTGAATTTCAACCCCTAAAGGGTTGAAAAGTGTAAAAATAGAAAAAACTGCCAAGCCAGAACCATTGAGAATCTATGAGTATGAAATTTGGTCAGTAGATTCGTTGCATGATATAGACATCCGTAAGAAAGGATTTTTCAAAATTCAACCCCAAGGAAGTTAAGTTAAAGGGTTCAAAAGTGTAAAAATGAAAAAAAAAAGAAAAACTTTCTTATTCAATTTGGTTTTAGCGAAAGTTAGAAGTACTCGCGACATTGCCTTAGCTGTAGCATCTTCTGAAATCGCAGCTACACTGATCGAGGGTGGTCGAACTGCCCATGGTACCTTGAAATTAACACTCAATCTAACAACTTCGGTCACTCTCGTTTGTAATATATTAAAACAAAGTAAATTTACGGAAGCTTTAAAAAATACAAAAATAATAGTGCGGAACAAAATTACAATGGAGCATAAGGGTGATGTTGATGCTTTAAATAGATATCTAAAGGATATAAGGAGAAATAAAAGGTTAATGGGTGATGTAACGGTTTTGCGGGCTGGAGAATTTAGACAGACTTTACCAGTAGTACCAAAAAGGACCAGAACTGATGAAGTTAATAAAGTCATGTCTTAAAAGATCTACATTGTGGCCTCAGATTTATATACTTAAACTGTCGTAAAATATGAGGGTATGCTTGGAAGAGGAAAAGTTTTCTGGTAGATTTGCAGATCTTTTACTTGAAATTGGTAATGGTGATTATCCATCAGTTAATGAAATGATAACTATCCCAGAAAATGTGTGCACAGTTGTAACTACGGTTTAAGATTTAATATCAAAAATTTATCCAGATATTGCTCATACTCATGATAAGCCTATGGAATGATTGTGTGAACGTGCTATACTCACTATGGTCATCATATTTTATACTGTGCCTCCTACCTATCTTAGCCACAATTCTGTACAGCAGCGGTTCCCAAACTTTTGTTTCCGCGGTGCCTTTTTTTGGACCAATTTAGTCACGGTGCCCTGCTATGAATAACGTGAAAGACAGAAAAAACAAAAATACTCACAGATAACCAATTTTATTAATTTTATTAAAATTTAGTTAAATTATAAATTAATGGATGTTTAAACTTAAAAAATAAATAAATAAAAATTATTATTATTATGATCGTAATTATTACATAAAAATATTATGTTTAAAATGAGAATGTCCGAATATACGATAGAAAATATATTCGCTATAACGTTTTTATGAGAATAATAAGGAAAAAATATTCTATACATTTTAAATTATTTGTTATGAACCGTAGGCCATAATGCCCTTAGGGCACCGCAGTGAATGGTTTGGGAACCGCTGCTGTACAGTAATACCGTATTGCTGAAATAATATGAAAATAAGTTAATAATAACTTATTGTCATATTATAAAGTTAATAATAACTTTATAATAGGTATCAATAACATGAGTTTTACTTTTCACCGCACTATACCTCTCTATAGTATATGGTAGACTAAATATAAATGAAAAAATTTAAAATAGAAAAACCCTAATTTCTGGTTTGTGCATGTAGCTTGAATTATTTGACTAGATGTTTATTTTATACACGGTTATTTCCGAAAATAAAAAATTAATATTGTGTTTGACAGTCGAAAGTGTGATTCAAACTGTGGATACTATTTATGAAATATATTAACTAGTGGTGTGAAATAAATCCGGATTCTCCGAAAATCCGAAAAATCCGGATTTCGGATTTCGGATTTTAAGCTGTAAAATCCGAATATTTGGGTTTCACATTGTAGATTTCTGTATTCTAAAGTAGAAAATAAAAATTTGTCGTTATAAATTCTAATTTAAAAAAACGAACATTTTCTATTTTAAATAAAAAACATTCATCGTTCCACTCAGAATCTAAAATTATTTGAACTTTAAAATTGTAATACATATTTTTGCGCTTCACTTTGTGAACAGTATTAAGTTTTAGTTATTAAAAAATAAAAATTATAGTACCATAAAAATGGTAGTAAATTAAGATTGTAGACTTTGATAGTATACTTCCACTTTGACTTTCGCGATAAGATACAACATGAAAACCCGACAATTACTGTGTAATAATAAAGTGTATACTGTATACAAGATGTGATTAAGCACTGTAACCTTCATTTTAAATCATGGCACCAAGCAAAGTTTGGCAGTTTTTTAAACGTACAGAGAGCAATAATTCAGCTAAGTGTTTAATTTGTGATTTTGAATTGATGAACAATGGATCAACTTCACCATTGTGGATTCATTACAACGCATGGCACAAAAAAGAAAAACATACTCTACAATCAATCAGAAAAAGGTAACCAAGCGAAACCGAATGACGCTATATCATTTGTCAGCATTGGTATTTTTGAAAAACCAGGCATAATATTAACAACTTATTATTATTTAAAATATTATTAATATTGTTATAACCATAGAAGTATTATTTTCATTGTTACTATTATAAATTATTATTATTTAATTATTTATTTATTTTTAATTATTATTTCAAACTTAAATTATTATATTTGTAACCTAACCTAACCCTATTTAGGTATTATTTATTGTGTATTTTTGGATAAATTATTCTGCTACTTATAAAAAATGTTGTTACTAATTTCATGTATAAACTGAGTTTAGGTTGTAATATCTACACGTTATTGCAATATTGATGATTGTTATTGTTATATTTTTGCTTTATAAGTTTTCCTATAAATATATTAATTTTTTACAAAAAAAAAAAATCTGTATTTATCAAGGCTTTAATATAAGGAATCCATAAAAAAAATATTAATTTAATGCTTCAAAATCCGAAATCCGGATTTCGGTTAAAATCCGAATTTGAATTCCGAAATCCGAATTTTTATCCGAATCCGGATTACGGATTTCGAATTTCATGAATCCGGATTTTCGAACTTCGGTAAATCCGGATTTTTCCCAACACTAATATTAACTTTGCTACCTACTCAAAACATTTTTATTATAGTTTTGTTTTATTTTTATTGGATTATATAAGGTAAGTAAAATTTATGTATATCATAAGTTATTACGTTTCTTTTAATTTTATTCTCTTACGTGTATACAGTTAATATACGTATTTTGTTAACTTAAAATAATAGGTTCTATTAGAAATGGAGGATGAAAATAGAGGAAGAAAACCTAAAGCAATCAATGATTTAATAGATAGTGAAATAATGAAATTTAGAAATCAGATTGTCCTGGAAAATAATAGTAAGTTAAACAGTTTTTTAATTTTTATATATTTTATTGGGATATGTTTATTCTAGCGATTATTTTGAAAAATTATAAAACTTATTATGTATTTTGGATAATATTATTGATTACGTACATATTTTCATGGCGGATTTAAGGGGGCGGCTAAGGGGAAATTAGCCTTGTTTTGGACTTAGTCCCCCTATCTATTTTACAAAGCAAAGTATTATTATATATTAATAATTATAATAAAATACTGTCAATGGTCATTGATGAATATGTTACCTATCTTACATATTTTTTTTATAAATAAATAGCTCACCTTTGTTGTTAATTATATGTATTTACCTATATTTTAAAATGGTTTCAGATTAAAATTAATACGAATAATGTAACTATTTAAACTTTGTCATTATTGTGAAAAAAATAACTTACTTATGAGGGACTCGGAAACATATTCTGTAATTCAAAAATTTATATGGATTTAAAAAACCATTTAACTAAATTCTTAAACCTCCATTAGCCCCTCCCTTGGTTAGTGATAAAACCCGTCCCTGCATATTTTACCATTTATTTATTTATTCTATTTTATCTATTTATTTATTTTTATATTATTATAGTTATTTAAAAAAAAAAAAAAATGTAAAAAGAAAATTTTTTATAAATCTAAGATAGTTTAAACATTGCCGTAATTTTTACGTAATTAGTCAAAATTTGAACTTTAAATGCTTATAAAAAAAAATCGTGACTATGTATTTTTAATGTTTTCAACTGCTATTGTAACAATATGTTGGAAGCTTTGTATTAAATTTTCAAACTTTTCTACTCGACAAATAAATTTTAATCGATATTAATTTAAAAAAAAAACTAACAATAATCAAACATTGCATATGCCTACAAATAGTTCAACTTAAGTTGAAATATTTTGAAAATTTTGGTTGTATAAAAAATACCTATATAAACATTCGGTGAAAATTGTATGTATCTATGGTCATTTGTTTTTAAAGTTACATCAAAAACTAAGATCGATTTTGTCGAAAACTGATTGTGCGTATAATGATGATTTTGTTGAACGGTTAGTAGAATATTACAGAGGTGACCACCTTATTCTACAGACTAAGTACGACAAAATATTAACTGAAGTTACTTTAATCAAAGATTATTCAGAACCAATTCGTAGCCGCCTTTCTTCTGACGAACATTGTAGAACAATTAACAAACATACTCGTATTCAAAATACATTAGCAGAATGTATTGCTTGCGAAAATGAAGATTTTCCAACAGGCCTCCATTGTTGTTGCAACTACAATAAATCAGTTCATGTATTTGGATGTTCTGTAGAAGACCCTTTAAGTGAAGAAGGTTGTGGACAAAAAATAAATATAATATTTCAATTATTTATTAATATAATTAGGTACCTCATCAATACAAGTACATGGCGTGCTAATAAAATATCATGCAAAATACTAAGACATGACTATGTCCGTTGTGAGTATGTACTCGTACCTATACAAGGTAGGTACCTATATCACTGCTATCTTATAGATAACAAATGTTAACAATTAAAATTTTTTTAATGTACTTACTACTTAATAGATTAGAATGGCAAAAAGTACTCCGTAGTGCGTAACACTGACCTTATGAGAAAAATGTAATAAACTACATACAGTATTTTATAAGTGATTGTATCATTATCGGCCATGGGTGGATGTACAAAATGGTACAAAAAAAGTACATAATACTGTATAACTTAAATTTCAATTTTATAATAATTGGTTAATGGCCGTGCTGTGGATACGTATTCCCCAGCACGACCATAGAAAAATTGGATTTTCTCGAGTTTGGGTGGGTGTGCAAAATTTTATTTTGATTGTACAAAATTGTACAAAAAAAGTACAAAATACTGTTAAGGTTTGGTACTATTATTCAAAAGTGGCCGTGCTAGTGATACGGACCTCACCTGAAGGCCGGACAGCTGTCCTATCGTTGCGATAAATTGAATAGCCATTAAATTTAATGGAGTCGGTTGTACATAAGTGAGTCTCGCATATACAGGCTATATCAACATTGTGATAAGATAAGAATGCAGCGAAAGTGTTGCAATTTCGTTTAATGCCGTTAGCGTTTCAATTTATGATGATAATGTTATTAATATTATTTAATAATGTAGGAAGATTGGTGATTACTTTTTTGATAATTTCTGAGATAAGAGATGTGAATAACGGCATTAGCGATTTAACGAGTTCATTGGTATTAAATGTGCTGTTCGTTTGATCATTTGTTCTTTCTTTTTTACTTAAGTTTTTTTTTAGCTTATCGGCGTAAGATTCATTTTGGGTATTTATTGTTTGAGAACTTATATAGGGTTGGAATACATGTTGTTCTTTAGGTTCAGGAATAATTTGTAAATGTTTAGGTGGATTTCTATGAAACTTAACCTTACTGTGGTTTTTAATTTGTTTATAGATTGTATAGCCTTTATAATTTGCTGGGTGATTTTCATTGCAGTTTACGCATGTCGGTGGGCTATTTTTATCTTTAGTACACTCCGAGTAGTGGTGTTATTCTGGGCATTTAACGCATCTAGGAGGTAGTTTATAAACAATTTTTGTATGATTAAAATATTGGCAATTTTAAAATTGTGAAACGGAGTTATCGTTTTTTCGATTTTCTACCGATATAATGCACTGAAGAAAACGATCTAGTGAAAAAATATTTTTCGCTGATTTATCAAGGATAATAGCGACGATTGGAATTGGTTAATTATGACGGTTTTGTAGACAGGTTACAGAAGTGACGTTAAATTTTAGAACAGATAGTTCATCATAGATTTCTGCTTTAGATATTGACCTTAAATATAGTATAGACTTTAAATCTGGATCATTATCTTTTTTACTATTTGTAGATGTATCCGAAGTGTTAATATACGTACGCAAGGTATTGATTTGTGTCTTAAGTTTTTTGTTTTATTTTCTTAAATTAGTAATATCTGACGTCGGCTCCTTTAAATTGGTCATGATTACATCAGTTTTGTTTTAAGAATTAATTTAGAAGATATTTATATTTTCATAATATAGGTTAATGTAGTTTTATGATTTTTGCTGGGCAAACTAGGCATAAGAGACTAAATAATTTTTGACAGTATAATTGTCGTAACAAACTAAAAATGAGGTAAGTATGTTGTATGTTTTTCACTAATCACTTGTATATAAATTAAAATTTTAAGAATTAAATGCATAACGTCGAAATGTGTCTTTGTTCAGCTATCAGTTGACAACTGCATTATTTCATTTATGAAATACTGATTACTATTCGATAAATTGTTAAATTAATTACATTTCCGAGTTATATTAAAAAATGTATGACAAAGTTTTTAATTTTAAATTATATTTTTGTATACTATGACTGATTTTAATAAACAAAATGTATATTCAAGTTAAAAATATTAAAACCGTTTAATTATACTTAAATTGGTATAATGATTATCACTAGGGATGAGCAATTATAGAAATTGCATATTTTTATGTATGTCTTCTATTTGTATCTTGGTGAGTTAAAAATCTGTTTTATAACTAAATAAGTACATATTTGTAATTTATTATTTGTTTGTTTTTCCATATTTTGGTAATTTTTACAATAATAAAATATGTATGGCTTTCCATAAATATAAATGCTTTTTTAGTAAATTTATATTAAATTTTAACTCTATGTATTCTATAAAACAATAATTGAACACAAAACTTGTTATTTCAATACAACATACTAACTTAAATATAAAACGTAAATTAATGATTATTTATTAACGTATTAATGTATTGTTTATTATCGAATAGTACTTAATTTAAATTTAATAAAACAAATACTTATCAAGACACTGTTAATTTGTGTCTTTTTTGATTATAAAGCGACTATTTTTAATTTATACGTTGTATGTTGTACGCACCAAAAAAGGAAAAACAAAAAATATTGTATAATCCAAATACACTTTAATAAATAGCATCTATTTGAAACCTTGAATTGTCAGAATTTTCTCAATAAAATGAATAAATAAAAAAATAATAATCCAAAATAAATTGAACATTGTTGTACGGATATTAGTTTATGCTTAAATATTGTAAACAGTACAGGAAGGCGTGATAGACATGGCTATATTTAATATTTACTCATTATAATACATAACAAATTAATATTTCAACCGTTATTTCGGGTGATTTATACTTAAAAAGGTATAGGTTCAACGGTAACACCCAATAACAGTTGAACACTTACAATTTTCTCAACGGACAACGTCAAGTATTACTCCTCACTGACCATCGCTGCATCTCAAAACTATATGAACTCGAAATTTAACATGGTGGTCTCTCCAATATTCAATACATACAATAAGAAGGTATTTTTAAAAATATTGAAACCAGGAAATACGATAATTCAGAGGTAATTCAGCGTATTACCAAAATTACTATACTGATTCATTTGAACTCTCATTTTATTTGTTTTATAACCACCAATAGTTACACCAAACTTGGTTTTAAATGGTGTAAAGTAATAGTCCATTAAAACCTATGTCACGGCCAAGAATGTTCCGTGCGAAGCCGGGTAATTAAGCTAGTTTATTTATAATGCCGAAAGCACTTACCTAGTTTAAAGAAATACGTTACAAAATTGTGCTAAAATGTATTTTCTAAAGATAGCCATATTTTATTTCATAACATTTATGAGACCAAAGTTAATGGTAACCAAAGATTAAACAACACATAAAAACAATCAAACATGAGCGAACGGCGAACCGCAAAAAAATTCAAATTTAAAAAATCAACAGTTGTTTATTATGCATAATTTCGTTTTGTTTATGCATATTTTACCAATTTCACCTCCTATTATTTCTCATCCCTACTTACCACTGTTGTACGTGTTAGCGATAATTGCGTTTTGTTCGTAAATGCGCGAAGATACATATATATGTATTGAAAATCACAATTGTCATAAAATTAATTAAAACTGTCTACACATTAGAGCAGCGGTTCTCAAACTGTAGTACGCGAAAGACTATATGGTGGTACGCGAATGGCCGGATGGTGGTAGAAAGAAAAATTAAAAATTCAACATTTAACTCATATATTAATTTAAAAATACTAATAAATTTGTATTAATAAATAAATAATATTATTTTTATATTTTATTTTATTTTAGTATTTTATTGCCTATTTATTTAAAATAAATGTATTTAACTTTGTGAAGTTTGTATGGTTCTATTTTTAATTATTAATGGTACGTGACTGATTGATAATATACTCAAGTGGTACGTGAAAAAAATATTTTGAGAACCGCTGCATTAGAGCATTTGTGTACAAATTATAAAATATTATAATATACTCTACGCAATCTGCTCTCGAAATCAAATTTCAATTATACCTAACGAATTGGCAATCGGCCAGCCGTCCGATGGTACATTTTATAATTAGTTAATCATGATTTGGTATGTAGCTCACAGAATGGAAGTAAGCAACGAAAATGTCTCTATTATTACAGCGGAAATTGTCATTGAGGTTAGTTCGTACACGAGAAAACTAAATATACATATACACGAACGTTTATACATAACTATGCGAATATCAATGGATTATAATTTGTTCATATTTATTATATATGAGAACATTTACTCGTAATTTGTTTCGATATCTTTCTCTTTCTAGTTAAGCGCAGTTTATCATTATTATTCCTCGTTAATCGTTGTTGCATTCAATAAAAATGGTTTGATTATCAAGGTCCACGAGTGAATTAATCTGTCAGTCGTCTGCCGGCTAACGGCTATCCGCGTCCGTCGTTCGTTCTCCGTGTTCAAACCGGGATTCTTCATAATGGCCCTGCTATTGTTGTTAGTGTGTGTCGTTTTTGCGACTTTGCTACTGATAGTTATTCGTACGTGTAAGAAACCAAAGAACTATCCGCCAGGTAAAGTCGACAGTTAATTTCAACATCATTTATCATTATGAACACAGTGATAAGAACTACTAATATTTTATTATGTTTATTTTTTTTTATTTATTTGAAATTTACAATCTGTATTAACAAAAACACAATAAGTAAATGTGGTAGTGTGTACAATAAAACAATATAATATAACAGAATAGCGTGATAAGGGAGACTATCCAATGATAGAACCCTTCAGACTTAAATTAAAAATAATTTATTGATTTTTATTTTATTTTTATATCATAAAGGATCTCGACCCAGCGCCTTTTCAAGCGACATGAGAGGTTGTCAGATAGTATAAGTGAGGACAAATGGGAAATAAGAGGATTTTGGTGTTACTGCAATTTTTTATGAAATCTTATATAATATTGTTTGGTTAGTTAGTTGTTCAATGGTTTGTATTTTTAAGTCCTTGTGGAGTGCATTATTTGTTACATACCATGGAGTAGAGGATATGAGGCGGAGAGATATGGACTGAAATGCTTACTAATATTTAAATTAAATTAATTTAACAAATGTGTGATAAGCACAGTCTTATATCGTATACCGTGAATGTACAACACGGATGTACATACACAGTAGGTTATTGATAATCGATCATTATTCTTTGGTTGTCCGTATGAATTCATCACTCGTAAAAGGAAAAAAAAAACGTTATTTTGGCTATTGGAATAAGAATAAAAAAAAAAAAACCACTTTAACCTAATGGAGAAGAAATTCCAAATGATAAAATAATGGGGCGTTGCCCGTAACTGCATACGTATGGGACAAAACCGCACACAGATTTTACAATACTGGATATCCCATTACCGCACACGTATATTTTGGACGATTATGTAAACAGGTTTACATTTTCACTGTAACTCGTTTGCGCACATTCAGAATTTTTTACCTGAAAATCGACGACGAAATCAATCGTTTACTTGAAAATAGATAACTCGTTTGCGCACAACGACACATTCACACACATGACACGTGTATACATATATCGTCACAGACTGAAGTACAAATTATCAAATATATTATCTCAATATTATCTTATAATCGACCATGTTGACTGTAGATTATATAAATTTGGATTTTCCAAACATTTTTTAGTAAAGTTTTGGTAGGTATGGACTATGGATGGTACAGTGGTGACTAGTATGTTGACGACGTAAACTTTAATATGGCGTAGAAATTTCTAATATTTTTTAATCTCGGTGAGGAAAACGATGTTTTAATATTGATAATTATAAATGTAGTGAATATCGTGTTTTAATGAGTGAATGTTCAAATTTTAGATGTACTAATAAAAAATGTCCTGCGAGTGTTATTGTTAATAAATCAAACAAAATAATAAAAGTAACCAACTTTCATAATCATGAGGAGTATACTAATTAACGATAGTAAGCAAACGAGTTCTGACACTAGGGATTTTCGTCACAGGTTGCCAAACTATTTGTGTGCAATCGAGTTGTGCATTTTTGCGCAAACGAGTTGTAGCCTTACATTATACCAATATAAGTGTTGTTGTGTGCCGGTATGCCACTGCCTCTAAATGGTTGAGTTCTGCAGTGCAGCTCCGTTGTCGCACATGTAACGTTGTAAGTTCGCAATTTCAGACGGATAACGAAGGAAATGAGGGTTTAGGAATAAAGCGATTAAAGCAGTAGTGGCATTAATTTAGAATTTGTTTTATTTAAATGAGTCGCGTAAAAATATATAATTATAATAGAAAGGTCTGCGCGTAAGACTGGTGTTCGAACGACTGACTCCACTCTACTGGGTGTTGTCAGTTGTCATTCGAACAAGCTTATTTAGCGTTTAGCCCCACATATAATTCATACAGTGTTTATGTGTTTATAATATATATGTTAAATTGTATATGTTTACAATCTTGTTCTAATACAATGGGTTCGTAACAGTGTCTACAATAACATTTATGTTTAAATTATTAAATTTTTATTACTATTACTAATACTACTACAAATTATGACTAAAAATTATTTTAACTATTTAAATTTTTATATTTAATAAATGTATGCGGTATTGTACCATTTGTTGTACACGGAATTAGGCTATACCTTTTTATAAATCTGTGCGGTATCGTACTATTTTTGTGCGCGGTATTGGGTCATGTTTGTGTGGTAATGGAAAGCGCCGAAATAATGAACTACTTAACATTAACAATTAATTTTCGGTTATAAAATTATATAATTTTTCTTTGCACAGCTGTTTAGATTTGTTTTACTTTTATCTTACTAATTATATAGTTAGTTACCTGTTATTAAAGTACTTAAATTGTTTTTTTATCAATACTTATAGAAACTAAAATTATTTTATTTTAAAACCCTAACCGTTTTGATTATTTGTGGTTTTATAATTAAGATAATATCAATGATATTCTTAGAATGATTATGAATTTAATAATCATTTATCGGAGCAGTTTTATCGCTTCGAAAACATTTTATATATTATAATTCATTTATTACATTATTTAAGAATACAAAAATCAGTTTTACTATCATTAATCAGTGCAAAATACAAATAATTAATATTATGAATTATATCATATAACATATTATATTATACTATTATATATGTATTTTACCGGAAATGTTGACATTTTAGGAAAGGATGACAATTCCTAGTAGCGGAAGGAAATCATATCATTGTCTAGGAATTGTCATCATTTCCGTAGTTTATTAGGCAATGTTATCACGCATTACTTTCTTACACGAAAGCATTGGAACTCGTGATGCTGCAAGTCATGTGGGACCGGCTTTACAATATAACTATTAGAACGATAACTAACTCGTAATGGTGACATACTAAAACCCGTAATCGTCACCCGTCGATAAAGTGGTTGAGTGGAAAATGACTATCGCATATCGCATATATTTTCGCAATCTTTATGTGTTTTATTTAAAGTGTCCCTAACCTGTATATGCAGTTTACCACCTTTAGTAGTGTGTTTTTCTTAGTACAGTAGCAGTAGTATTTGTTATTTACACATTTAGTGCGTTTGTTAAAAATGGATCTCAATAAAATGCGAAATGAAATGCGAAATATTGGTTTACCAATACATGAAATCGGCTCTTTGAAATCTGAGGAAGATATAGAAAGTATTTTAAAGTCAAATGAAGACGAAAAAGTCGAAGAAAATGAATCGGTTTACTAGTGACTTTGAACTTGGTAAAAAAAACGTAATAGTTTAATATATTTAAATATAATTTACTATAATATTTTTATTTAGTTTATCAACGAAAACAAAATATACTGAATGCACGTTCAATCATCTCCGCAAAATTTAGAAAAACAGGCTCAACAAATGATTAAAACATCGAATAAAAAATATGATGAACTTAGTGTTGGAACTACAGTATGGCTGAGCATTCCTGATGTAGACCGCGCTCGTGGATCGCTGAGAAATGTACTAGCGGTTATAACTGAAGTTAAAGAAGATTTATACAAGCTATATTAGAATTAATTTAGTATTTTTATAGCATATTAATCATCGTCGTATTTAAACGCATAATAGAGATTCATTATAATTATTTATTTTTTTTTAATTATAGGCACTGAAAAAGGATTTTTAAAACATATGTACACAAGATCGAAAATAAATCCTTGTAAGGGAAATTTATTGAATCTAACTACTGTTTTAGAGTCAGCAGGTCACGCAGAAAAACAGATATCACTTCGGGAAGCAGCTACTGTAAATAGTATTTCAGGGACACAAGGATATACCCGATGTCAATGTAAAACAAAATGCAAGACGAACAGGTGTGCTTGCAGATCGGCATCTAGAATTTGTAATTCTAAATGTCATGGAGGTTTGCTATGTGAAAATAAAATTGAGTAACTACGAAAAATAAAATGTAAAATATAAAAATTCTGAAGTTATACAAATCAAATTGATAAAAAAAAATTAAAAAAAAACTACTCTATTTTATTATATTATTTTATTATTTTATTATAATATTAGTAATTGACATTTATGTATAGTAAAATAATTATTTTAAGTCTAATTAAATCAAATTAAAAAAAAAAAAAAATGGTATCACATGTATGAAAAAATATGGCATCATTGCCTGGAATTGTAAGGAAATGATAACATATACTAGGCAATGATATCATTTCCTTCCGCTACTAGGAATTGTCATCCTTTCCTAAATGTCAACATTTCCGGTAACATATATATTAAATTATTTATATCATATTATATTATTTTATGACATTTAATGATTTGAAAAATTTCATGTTATTATAATTATTTTTCATCACGTACTATAATAATCAGTGATCGAAGTGGGGGGAGGGATAGGCAGGGATGGCATCCCTCTACTTTTTTATATTTATAATGTTCATCCCTCTACTTGTTTTGTCTAGAATAACGCATTCCTCCTAAGACTTATATTTTAAAATTATATACTTATTATTATTTTTATATTTATACATAAGAAATTATTTTTTTTCGGTGAAAATAATTGTTTTTAACATTCAGGTCCGGGCGTCCGGCTCATCGTGTTGTTTAGTATAAGCCGTTTCGCAACCCGTATTATACCCGTATTTAGAACCACAGACTAAGATAATATACCTTATGTGAACTATAAAAAAATAAATAAATATATTATAGGTACACAAGGTGTGTGAAGAATTTTATGATGATATCAGGAAATTTGAATTGTAAGGCATTCCTCCACTTATCTTGAGCCATTTCGACCACTGATAATAATATATAGTTCACAGTACTATATTTTTACAACATATTTTTATAGAAATAAGTAATTAAAATGAAAAAACAATAAATATATTTCATATTTTTATAGTTTTAGTAGGTATTTATAGTATTTTCAGATTTAAATATATAATAAGTTAGTACAATTTTATTTAGATAATATTCTTAATGTTATGCATCTGCAGCTTATAAATATTGTTTTTTGCTATATTCTTAAATTATTTTAATGGAGGGACTTAAGTTGTTTATTAAAATATATTTATTTTAATTTTTTGATTAGGTTCAAGTATATAGGTAGTTAATCATTAAAATAATACAATATTTTGTTAAATAAAATAGTTTATTACATCAATTATAATATTAGTTTTTCAGTTAGCTCATATTGATAGAGGACAGTTAATAAAATTACTTTAATATATAAATAAATAGTTTATATAGTTAAAAGAAATAATGATACTAAATAATTGCCGTATTTTACGTATTTAATTTGGCTCAAGTATAAACTCAATTTGATTGAGGATATTTAAATTAAAATAATTGCTTTTGTATGATGTTTTTACTAAATGATTTTAAATGTCAACTATTATATCGATAGAAACAACAATTATAATCTATGAATTGTAAATCGTTAAATTTATTTTTTAGCTAATAACCTACATTATTGTGGTTTTCCACAGAAAAAAAAAACAGAACCATCGAGGGACGCCTGGCATATGTGAAATATTGAAATTATTTCATGTAGAAAATATGCATGAAAGAATAATCTATTTAAGGAAATAAATATAGTATAAATATAAAAAAAATATTTAGATTTTTATCAGAAAAATATTCTTTATTTATAAAATATATATTAAATTACTACCAAAATTAAAAATCAAAAATTACTTGTCAGAATTGTATACGTTTCATTCTGATATAATTCAGTTATTTTTATTTTAATAAACCCTGAACCTTATATAGACCATAGACAGTATCGTATTTTCGTGGGAGGGAGAGGATGGTTCCATATTCTCGAACCCCCCCTCTCTATAAAAAAAAAAAGGTTAAATAATCATAAAGACTTGCTACGAAGGTACAGAAAAAGAGAACATAAATTTATATCATGTGGTTGTAGATAATTCTTCATTTGTATTTATAATAATAATAATAATAATAATAGAATAATGTAAACATTAATTCATACCTTATATGTATTTTTATGTTATAAAATCACTTATCTTTTAGAAAAATTTAAAACCACCTGCTACAAAAAATTTGAAAATACGCCACTGGCCATAGACAATCAATTCTAAATTAAATTTAGTCGTTGGTTTTGGGTTCGTGATACTAGTACTTCGAAATGTACAAATTAAGTAATATTTATAACATGATAAATCATGTAAATGACTATTTTTATACTGGTTTGGACGATTTATTTAATTTATTATAATTTGCGTTATATATGGAACACACGATAGTAACAATAATAACGGCGAGTTATTTGATTTCGGTTTAATTATTATTTATTACGTAAGTTCCAATATATAATAGGTAGTATTCAGTATAAGTATTTAATATAGATAAAGGCTACTAAGGATCTAAAAAACTGTAAAATATAATAACAAAATGTATTAACATTTTATAAATCAATAGAGTCATACTTCCAATACTATCGACGCGTTGTAACCTCCGAGTTTACTATACTATACTATAGTAAGTTATGTATACCAGTTGTGGCCAACAGGTCGAACAAGACATGAGTTCCAGTCGATCATAACTCCTTTTCATTTATTTTTTCACTTTTTTAGAAAAAAAAAAACTTATTTTATTTTTTATGTACATTTTTATATTTTTATTCATCTCACGAATATTAAAATTAGGTTAATAATAATTAAGGAAATATGTAGTAATAATTAACTATGAAAATCAAAATTATACACTAAGATCAAGCAGCTATGTAGGTAATATATACGTAATCTAATGGACATTCCGTATTAAATAATGGTATTTATCGCGTTCGTATAAATTGATGAAAGTATACAAAAATACGTGTTTTGTAAAATTAAAGTATTTATTACTTATTAATATTTTATATAGAATAAATAAAGAATGTGTAACATGCAACTTAAATGTATAAAAAATATATTTTTACTCAGTGTCAATTTTTTTTTCGGGTCGATCGTAACAACCTAAAAAACTCAGAAGTCGATCACAATTCTTCAAAAGTTAGTCACTGCTAGCCTGTTAACTGTAATATATAACGTGTATAGCACGTAAACTGAAAGTGATGGGAAAGGGGATCGAGTGCGTGGGTAAGTGAGGAGATCGCCGCGCTGAGGTGGATTGAGCCGACGTTCCATAAGCGGTGCGGCGGCGGCCTCACTCCAGTACCGCGCCATAAGATGTTTCACATCAAAAATGTATTTATTTGTTCAAACTGTCAACTATCAATTATTTTTGAAACTTATTACTCATTTATTCAAAAATATTAACCATAGTAGAATACCTATCATTAAATGTAGAACACGATCTCTGTCTGAAAGTATGTTTCAAATAGCTCTCACAGCCTTGTATATTTCAGATTAGATTACGATTAGGCTATAATGATAAAATAATATATAATATACTTATTACAAATGGTATAAATGAAGTACGATTGAAGAGATTTATACGCGAAACAGTCCAACTTTTCGATAATACACTTTTCATGCAATAAAATTCAGAAAAAATTCCTACAACCAGATTAGCCGTTATTTATAAGTATAGTTTTTGAAGTAAATTTACTTATCTGGTTTTATTTTTCTGGTGCAGGAATCAGATAATTCTGGACTCATCTGGTTTTTGTTACAAATGATGGCCACTTTAATTAGTACATGGGTGGTAGCGGCATATCATGTTTATTTTGTTTTGGGTACTTCATCACTTGTTATTATTAATAAAAAAAAAAGGAATATTATTCATTTTTCATCATTGAGGAAAAAACTGATAATATGCATGCATGTTCAACACTTTCTATAGATATTAAAATATTATAAGCTTGTAAAAATTTCAGAAGTTTCCAAATCATTAAATTCATTTTAATCATCTTCCAAAGTTTCAAAAGTTAATTAATCTGATTTTTGCATGTCATAAATATACTTCAAAGTTTAATTTATAATTGTTTAACATATTTTAAATTAAACATCAGGAGGGCGTAGTGGCCGAATGATAAAAGGTGGTTTGAATGACCCTGTTCACAGACGGTTGTACGACCGCTTAAAGAGAAGAAATCGCACACGCTTCCTCTCCCAACATGTACCTACCTACGAATAAAACCCACAAACAAACCTACCAACTGAAATTATTATCATACCCAAATACCCTACATTCAATAATTTGACATATGCTCAGAGTCCAATGACCTGAGATGCTTTGGGTTTCTACAATACATAATATCGTCACTTATTTGCAGCTAATAATTTAACAATAATAATAATTTTAATAATTATAATAATATAATAAGTATAATAATTTTTGTTTTGTACAGGACCGACGTGGTGGCCGTTTGTGGGCAACACATATCAATTAGCTAAACTTTCAAAAGCTAAAGGTGGCCAACATCTAGCGTTAGAGGAGCTTCGTCAAATATATAAATCCGATGTGATCGGATTAAAATTAGGACATGAACACGTTGTTGTAGTGTTTGGAAATGATCTATTGAATGACACATTTCGCAAAGATGAGTTTCTGGGTCGGCCAGATAATTTTTTCATGAAACTCAGAACAATGGGTTTGCGTAGAGGTGAAAATGGAACTATAATTGATTTATAATAAGTTATAAAGTAGTTTGATACTCTAGTCCTATGAATCTATTGTTGTTATTTCCAATGAAATTTACGAGTCTAGATGTTGATTATGGTATGGGCCAAAATGTATAAGCTTCGAATACTGTAATATATTGTCCTCCATCACTTGGTACATATGTTAACTTAGTTTAAATTTATCTTAAGATAATTATGACGACTCCTGAAAATCATTATACTATGGAAGGAATTAAAAAAACAAAATGACGATCTGTGTGCGAAAAAAAAATATTAAAAAAGCGAAATTCATAGATCAGATAACATTACAAGTAATTTTTTTAGCTCTTTTAAATATTTCCATAGCCCTCCCCGATTTAAAAACTATGAATTTCAGAATTTAATCATCTATGCCTATAATCTTAATACACGACATAGTTATTAAGTTTGACAATAATACATTTTTCATTAAGTAATATTTTTTTTAAATAAGTTGATTGTATTATTTTTTTAATTTATTTTTTTTTTATGATGTTTTAACAACTGATATTCATGCTTTAAAATCAGATATGATTATAGCAATAACTGTATGAAAACTATCAAATTTTATTTTGATATAAAATCGAAAAGCATGTTTTTCAAAATTTTTATAAGATGTTACAAATGAAAATAAGCAATTCTATAGGCTATACCACTTATGAATGACTATTTTTTTCTTTGAAGAGTATTAAAAGTTGGTTACGAAACAGTATACTAAAAGAGCGTTTAAAAACTTGATTGTTCACATTATTAAGAAGGATGTTGTGAACTTCTTAAATAATGAAGATATTTTAGATGTGTACTGTACTAAAAAGAGAAAATTTAATTTATAAAGTTGAATTTGTGTAGGTACATGTATTAATGTGAATTATTTTTATCTATATGTAAATTAGTAAATGGAATTTGGGGGCGTAGCATTTATGGGTCTGTGTTATCTTGGTACTTATAGCCCTCCAAAGATGTAAGCTTTACTTGAGCTTCTAATTAAGAGTAATAATAAACCGATATGATTACTGTTATTTTTCTTTATACAAAATCGTCCATTTCAAATAGGTATTACGATGACAGACGGAGATCTATGGAAAATACATAGATCATTTGTGGTTAGACATCTGAAGTTACTTGGACTAGGAAAGAAAAAAATGGACGAATTGATTTATGAAGAATACCAAATCATGGTACAACGGATGTTCGATGGCGAAAATAGTGTAATGCCGGCCACGTACATACAGTCGGCCGTCATGAATGTCATGTGGGAGCTAACGGCTGGTGCTAAATTCGAGGACTCCAAATTGTTAATGTTGATAAAAAAACGAAGCACAGCATTCGACATGGCCGGTGGACTGTTGAACCAGATACCCTGGATCCGATTTTTGGCACCCGTTAGCACTGGTTTCTCGCTCATACAAAACATCAACCAACAGCTATATTCATTATTATCCGTAAGATGAATTTGCGTTTTATAATTTTAGAAGTAAAATATTCAATTTTTTATTACTTATTTTTTAGTAATTTTCAATGTTTTCAAACTAATTCAAGTTCTTATTGATTTCCTTTTCAATGAATAACATATAATTAAATGACAACCAAGTATACACACATTTAAAATGTTTGATTTAGTTCCTTCGTTAATATGATTTCTTAATTTTAATAGATAAGTATCAAATCATTGATTTCACCATATTATTTTAATTTACCTTTTACTTGTTTATACTATTATTTACTCAATGGTTAGAATTACAATTCAAATAATTGTTTTTCCATCTTATATCTCATCCATAGAAAATATTTAAAATATGTATATTCTAATTTTCAAGACTATATAATTTTTAATTAATAGTTAATTATTCAAAATAAAAATAAATCAGATTTTTAATTTCAACATTTTACAATTTATTATTTATTTCACAATTTTTGTTTTTTTAATTTTAGTTTCATCATTTTAAATGTAGTTCTTATTAAGGATGTAAAAATGACAATTATACTTCTATATACAAAATATAATGATATTCAAATGTAATAAATATAAATTTATTTATAACTAGTTAAATTACCCAGCTTTGCTTGTGAAAATAAATGCTTATCTTTATATTAAATTAGGTCGTTTCGAAAATTCAATTTTAAATCATATAATATTTGTTTATCGGTATTAGAATTAACAGACAAATACCTTTTCATTTCATTCTGAGTGTCACCCATGTAAGATATTTTCAAAAACTTTGGTTCTTCTGGATTATTAGGTAATAAAGAACCAGCCAAATGGTTGACTTGATCTTAAACTTTAAATGTCGGTATAAAGTTCCATACTTAATTTCTGTTGTACCAAACGATGCCATTTGAAAATCCGAACAATTAATATACACATGAATCATGTTAAAAAAATGTTTTGAATCTTGATGAGAACGATTCATGATACTTTTTAATGGTTCAGGTGTCTTTAAAAAAACTTTTCCTCCTGAACATAAAATACCTGAAAGTTCTATTGAACATTTTAACGCACAACAATATTAAAAATCTAGGTAATCGGTATAGTATAAGTAGATACAGAGAACATGCGTGACAAAGATCCCATTTTCACATTTATTTATATATTATATATTAATACTAATACACTTATTTTAGGATATCATAGCGGAGCACAAGAAAACTCTGTCTGAAACAACCAGAGATTTTATTGACGCGTACTTACATCAAATGAAAAAAGAAGACATATCTAACACAACTTTTACAGGTTAGTTATTGTTTTAGTTTAATATTCATTGTTCTTACTATATGGTTAGTAGTTGTTGTAATAAACCAAGTAAATAGGCCACAGTTGTATTTGACTTTTTTTACACCTTTTTTTATTTTATTAAAATAATGTTAGTATAGGGGAAAGCGCGCAATTTTTAAAAATAAAACAGTTACATATCAATGAGAATGCATATACTATTAAATATCTATATTCAATAACTTTTCCGATTTAACAGTGGAAAATAATGTCAGGTTTATGACCAGCTTTATTGAGTTGGCATGTGTTGACGTGCTCGAGGAAATTAGAAATAACCCAGTTGTCTGGCGTGACGTCAACAATCATGATTATGATTTTTGCCTTCAGTGGTTGATTGGTACGCGGTTTGTTAATGTTAACTTGAGATATGATATAACTCCACAAAAAAATGTCACAAAAGGTAAGGTTAAAGGATCTGGCAGGTTATTCCTGGTCTCCTCATAGTGAAATCACTCACCTCGAGAATTTGTCTTTAATAATATCGACAGTTTCACGTGAGGTGTTACACCATTCTGTTGAAACCATAGGTTTTGAACATCAGCAAAGCCAGTTGGTTAGTATGTGCATTTTCAACTGCTGTGACCGTCGGCGAATTGATTTCCTTGGACTTACTGTTACACTATATTGTACAACAGCGATTTGTTGAGCTTTGCGTTGATTGCGATTTCGCCCAGGTGATTTCACAGTAGCAACAGAACTACTGCAGTGGTTCGAACATTTTTATTAGCCGCAGAACTGTAGACTTGTTGGGCGCTTAATTTCTTCTGAAAACCGAGCGAAGTCATCTTACTATCTGGGCCCTACTTTCAAGATTTTGATATTAAGTTTTCACGATCTAGACATGTTGTTCTTTTGTAAATTGCTCTATGGTAACAACTGTAAAAATAAAGAAAACAGCTAATGAAAATCAAATCTGATAGATTGTAGCTTCTAGAAATTAAGATAACAGGACTTAAAAAAAAAATGGCACCAGATTCAATAGGTGCGCCCTATATGGGACCCTTTAGAATGTTCGTAATATTTAACAAAATAAATTTGGAAATTATTTAATACGTCTATAATATTTATAATACGAGTCTATGATTATGAATTTAATAACTATCTTATAAACGAATTTCAGAAGAACAGTTGGTAGCTGTATGTTTAGACTTATTCTTTGGTGGATCGTCTACATCCAGCAGCACACTGGATTTCGCTTTACTAGCCATGGCTCGATGGCCAGAAGTCCAGGCTAAAGTCCAATCTACTTTGGATGAGATTAAACCACCAGGCACGTATATTGAAGCTGAAGAAATTCTTAAGTAAATTATCGTATTATAGTAACTTTGAAATATGTTGTGTTTGATCAGATTCACAATTGATCTATCTTTAGAAATAGATATGTGGAAGCTGTGTTGCTTGAGTCGATGAGGCTTAATCATGTAACACCAGTCATAGGCCCTAGGCGTGCATTAAAAGATACGAATCTAAATGGCTATAACATACCCAAGGTATTTTTGTGAGTTTTAATAGAGTTTATTTATAAATATTTATAGGAATGACTAAATAATAACTTAAATATTATAAATGCTAAATTAAATTAAATATATTATATTAAGTTAGTATTTTTTTGGGTATATATTTTTTTCTTCTAGAGAATATTATATTTTGTATAAAATATAAATTGAAAAAAAAAGTGTATTATTATATTATTTGGTTTATGAAATATCTTTCTAATTGTTAAAAAAAATATTTAAGATAAACTTTATTAATAAATTAGTTAATTTGATAAAAAATTTTATTTGAATTTGAATTTTACAAATTTACTTAATTATTTCTATTAGAACACAACACTACTGATGAGCTTGTATTCATTTCATCACGATAAAACAAAATGGAACGATTCAGAAGTTTTTCGTCCTGAGAGATTTATAGACGAAGATGGACAATTCAAACCATCAGAAGAAATGTACTTTTTTGGTGCCGGTACACTATGATATTAATTCTAAACATTTTTTTTTTATCATAATGCGTAATATTGATATTATAATCAATTTATTTAGGGAAAAGACGATGTCCAGCTGAAGCCTTAGCACAACGGTTCATCACCTTAGTATTTACAAATCTAATTCATGATTTTGTAATCGAAATAGATCAGTTACCAGATGGAGTACATTGTGGTATACTTTTAAGTTCTATGCCATACAAAATAAAAATGTCTAAAAGAAAATAATTATATTTTATGTATTTTATTTATATTGTGAATTTAACTCACAATATTATTAATATTACAATGAATATAAAGTTTTATTTACTATGTATTTTATATAATTAATTTTCTTATTATGTGTTTGAAATATACTAGAATGGGAATGTAAATATGTGATACACTATATAAATCACAACGATTTATGTTTTTTTAAATTATTAAAACTTCAGGGAATAATTATTATATATTTAATATTAGTCTATAAATTATAATCGTAAAATATATAAACTGTTGAAAATCCAATATTTAATACTCTCTAATATTTAATACTCTGAATAAAAACTGTTGTTATAAACCATAGAAATAATCTGAATTAGTGATAAAATATGATACGAATAATTCCTATCATATTTTATAATAATTTCAATTGGAGCATCCGAGTTGGGTTCCGAGTACTAGGGGCTAATCGTAGGTAGTATACTAGTTGAGTCCCCGATTTTTATAGGTACTACACTAGTTGGGTCCGGGATTTTTATGAGCATGTATAAGTTGCCCCCAAAAGTACATTTTTTTATACCAATTCCCCCCAAATTACCTAGAGCAAAATGTACCAGTTGCCCTCACATGTTAATATATACATGATTACAATATATAGCCTGTAAAATAGGGGAGGTAAATATACAAATTATAAATAAAATTATTTATAATAATAATGTAAGATAGTATAAAATGATAAAATCAAATTTTGATATTTGCAATTATATATGATATTGTATTTTGTAATAAATAATAAATATAATATATTATACAAATAGTATGGATAAAATGAAAATTGTATTAATAATAATAACCTACTACTAGGTGCAAAGCCAGGATTTTACAAAAACGTAAATTTAGACGCGTCTGAGTGGATAACCGATTTATAACGATATTAACGACAATTATATTACCTACGCTTTATCGGAATACACTAGTTATTATCATTTATTAAACCTATCTTTATTAGTAGCTTTTTTTGTTGTTGGACACTATTATATGATGCGATGTATAATATACATTGTATACCTATATATATATACGTATTTGATAGTTACATTTTAGTAGACGAAAAGCACTGACGTGATGGAAAATATTACGCAAGTGTATAGTGAAAGGGAAAAGTTATGTTAGTTTTAAATATTTATACATTTTATAAAGATCGCATTACACAAGCGAGTGTGAAATGGCGATGTACATTAAAGTCTTGTACATCAAAGCTGTTTGTGAGTGAAGATGAAACGGTGATTTTAAAATCGGTAATCGAACACAAACATTCACCGCGTAAAAATTTAACAAAAGTAACCATTTCTAATAATTTAAAACGCAAAGCTGTGGATGACATTTCTAAACGCCCATTAAAATTAATACGTGAAGAAGTTCAATTAAATGTCGTGGATGTAACATCAAACGATGTAAGCTCCATTCGCAGAAGCATTTATCGTGCGAGAAGATAGTGTTTTCATTACTGCCTAACAAATCATCGAAGACGTACGAATTATTATTTAATATGTTAAAAAAAAAAATGCTCTAGCTTTGAACTTGAATTCAATCAGTCAATTATTGTATCCGATTTCGAACAAAGTATTCATGTAGCTTTCAAAGTTGTTTGGCCATTAATTACAGTCGTGGAGTGCAGATTTCATCTACCTCAGTCATGGTCGAAACGCATACAACTATTAGGATTATAGCCGGATTATATAGATCCAAATTCAGAAATTGGAAAATGACTTCACTTAATTTTCGGTCTCTCATTACTACCTTCAAGTGAAGTAGACAGTTGTTTTGTTGAAGATCTGATGTCAATTAAGCCTTTAATAATATTAGCCTTAATAATAGCCTTAAATAATATTTATTAAAAATCACTTTTGTGTTGATAAAAATGTATATGACATTAATTTTACAAAATCGAATCGATTTATTTTTCCTGCAATTTTTTTAGTCATATTTTCAGTTATGAATTTTTCTTTTAGTAAAATGCAGACCCAACTAGTGTAGTAATTTTAAATTCGGGACCCAATTCGGATGCAGCTATTTAAATTATTGAGCAACATATAAAAAAAAAAAAAAATTATAGTTTATTTAGTAGGTCCTCTTTCACCTTCTCTACGACAGGGCTTTAAGCACGTGTTTACCTTGTGTCTATACGCTCAGGAGAGGATAAGAGCATCGGTCGTTAGTATTATTTCTAATATAGCGTCTCCCTATCTGGGGGCACTTACCCACAAGGGATGAAATAGGATTTTTTGAGGTTCAAAGGCTAAGCTAATTTTAATTTTTTTTTATGTACTAATTATGTATTTTTGTACCTTTTATTATAATTATTATTATTTTTTTAATACCTTAAAATAGTATATATAAAATTTATTCTCGATTATCCGCTGTCTTCTACGAAACGAACCACGTACGTATGTATAAACAAATAATTTAAAAAAATACAATGTTTTTTCTTCATAATACATGTATACATAATTATGGTTTCATAAATCAATCTAATTGGGTTGCGATAACCCAATAATGCGGGTTATACGTTAGGCCTGACACACTCGTTTTTTTTAGTGGAGAAGGGTGTTTGCTAACATCTTATCCGATTCATGGGTAATAATTTCAAAAAGGCTGTGAACCGTTGCTATAATAAGTTCATTTTCTATAAATGGTTATACTGCACAAGTCTGTTTGAAGGATTTGGGTAAATTCACTTTTATTTTATCATCCTATTATTATTCAAGTTCAAAAATATTTTATATAACTTGTATCGAAAACTGGTTAAATGATGACGACACGTTTCGTTATGTAGACGATAACACGGATAATAAATGTTCAACGATGCGCGGGTTATTGAAAGGGTTACAAAGGCAAATCGTAGCCGCATACAATGTGTAAGTTGCCTGCACGTGACCCCTTAACAATAACACGTTGGCAAGGGTTTTTAAGATTGAATCGCTTTCCGTGCACTTACACCCAGGGGCGTAACTAGAGGATGTAATTTTTATAATTATTAACAACTAATTTGATATTTTTAACTTTGTTAAATACTGTTATTAGGTTAAAACTCAATAAGTATGATTGTATAATAATTATTAGAAAAAAATTCTCGAGAAGAGTATTTGATTATTGGTCTTTGATAGGGCGTAATTTTAACATTTTCCACGGGCGTAAAAATTCCTAGTTCCACCATTGCGTACACAGAGCGCAGGATTTGAACATATCCGGTCAAATGGGTTCTTCTACAGGTCACGTAACAAGTATAAAGCCCTGTTTATACCAGTGACAATAACACTTCGCAGTCACGATAGTGATCGTAGCGAATCTACTACTGTGTAAACACATATTGTCATGCTGTTAACCGTCAGCTGTCGAACTATTGAGTTCTGCATAGACCGCAGGGTCGGACGAGCCCAGGCCCACTATTACCATTAGTCATCGAGCATCGGTGGATCTCTCCGTCGCAGCCGTGTGCACATAAACAGTAGTGGGGACGTTTAATCGTTACGTGTTCTGCTGATGTCTTTGATCAATTGTTATCAACGCACATAGTGTTGAACAACGATCATGAATGACTAATTGTAGACATTTAAGAATCAAAGATTTCGACAAAAATCGAACTAAGAATTGACAAATTATCGTCAGAACACCAGGCGCGTCCATTTTATTAGGATATATACATTTTATTTACAAGTGTCATTGCTTATAAATCATATTTGCGATATTCCAGTATTTATTTTTTTTATTTCAAAGAAAATCATTCGAAAAATCTTGTATTACATTTTCAAGACTTAAATATAATTATTGAAAATCTAATGATATTATCGACATTTAATATTTTAAAACCCCAGAACAAAGAAAGAGAAAAATAAAAAATTTCTTAATTCATTAGTATTGATTTTATTTTAATAAATTGATATTTCTAATATCAAACAAAATATAGACGTAATGAAGTACTAAACTACAGGTAAATGAAAAAAAAAACAATATCTTTTTTCATACTAAAATTTATCAGTTAAAAAATACTATTTATATCGTATTTTTCATAAATTAAATTAGTTTTTATTTTTATAGCATATAAATTATAAAAAAACAAATAAAAAAACATATAATATGAATATAATTTTTTAACCATCTTTCTATTCACTATCACTTTCACTTTTTAATAATTTTAATTATTAATAATAATTAATAATTAATAATTTAATTTTAATAATTAAACTACAGAAATATTTATATAACAAACAATCAAGTCAAATACGATATCAAATCATGGTAATTTTTCTAATCAACGTAATCGATCACAAATGTTGTTTTTGAACACAATGTTTTCGTGCAATTTTTTATTACAAATATATCTCGTCGAAAACGATAATAAATTATCAAGTATAAATACAATTAAATTTACATTTCGCCGATGAATTAACTTAACTAGACGACGAATCGTTAATAGACATCGACTACGTTAATATACCCTATGTGCCTTGTAGTCTTTCCAGATATAAATGTCACAGTCGCCGTGACATTCCAAATAAAATATTTTTTCTCACCATTCCAATACAATTAATTTTATCGCTATATTACGCGTTCATCATTTTATCATTATACTGCTATATGCTTGTTAATTTAAACACACTCAAAGAGCGCGCGGGATGAGTCGCACGCCCATAATAATTTTTTAACTCTTTGCGTATTGCGACCTACCGTCAAAATTCCGTATAAACATATGCACAAAGGCATATATTACATATTTCCAACGTATGTTTGGAGGAGATTTTTTATTTAAAAAAAATCGCAATAACCGCGAATAAACGATGCGCCGCGCGGTATCGTCTACATCCTATTGTACTGCACGCCGCGTATAAATACAGTGGATACACACCCCTCTTGTTGACGTGTATGTACGCGACGTATTATACACACACGTGTACAACATAGGTATATTGAAAAAGGACGCGCGGGGGTTGCACATGATTCTATGGAAATCACGGTCGCGCGTACATATATCGTACAATAAAACGTCGGCCACGCGGTG